AATCATCTTTCCACAATACTCAATTTTGTATGTCTTCTTCTCAAATATCATTGTATGGATGTCCTTCCAGCTGAATCAGGAGCAGTGACTTTGTGGAGGTTTTCCTTGGAGAAATGGACTTATATTGGAGTTACACATGATTCAAACCAAAATACTTCTTTACCGCAAGTATTTAAGTTCAGAGGTGTAACATGTTGTGCAGAAAATATTCTCAACAAGTTATCAGCTATGGATCAAAGCACACAAGAATACTTAGAAACAGAAGTGCATGAGGAAACATTCAGAAAAGAGATGACTTTAATTTTTTCCAATGTTAGTGCAGCACAGGTGATGCTATTTTAAAAAATTATTTATTGAATTATGACAGAGGTCATCAAACTTATTTTCTTTTTCACAGAAACTGTGACTTTATGGAAGTCTTCTTTGCATAAATGTAGTTTTACCAAAGTTACTGATGATTAAAACCAAAATATATGATTGCACGCATTATTTACACTGCAAAATATAACATGTGGTGCAGAAAAAAATGTTCACAACAAGTTAGCAGCTATAAATGAAAGCACACAGGAATATTTAGAATGAGAAGTGGATGATGAAACATTCAGAAAAGAGATGCAATGGCAGTGCAGCACAGGAGATTCTAGCTTCAAGTATTGATTACAGAATTATGGCAGAATTGATCAGACGTATCTATTACTGAAAGCAGAGACTTTTTGAACATATTTTTTTAGAGAAATGGGGTAATATTTCTAATTAGGTATGGATTTAATCATAATGCTTTGTTGCAGGCATAGTTTTTATTCAGACGTAGAAAATGTTACGGTGTGCTGGCTTGGCTTGTTACTGATTACAAATCAAAAATAATTTTTGGTTTCCTGATTCTTTTCTCTCCTGCATTCTTTCTAGGAGATGAAATAATTTTATCTGCTTCTGAAATTTCAATTTCTCTTTTTTCTTGTGTTTGTTTTACAGAAGCAGTGGCCTGTTTTTGTTTCTCATTCTGTGCTCTAGCATCAACAATATACTTCGGTTCTCTAAGAGACATTTTTCTTGGTGCTCTTGGATCAACAAGCTCAGGAAGAATACAATTCACGTAAAATTTTTCGAGTTTTGGAACTAAACTGATCCAGAAAGTTTTGTCTTCGGGTATTCTTAATGTGATTGCATCTTCTCTGCACCATATATATAAATCACACCAATTCCTCTCTGTTATGGCTAACTGCCCTTGAATTTGAAAATAATATTTGTGGCTTTTCGGTAAATAAAGATTATTATCAGCATCCATCCGAAGACCAACAGAATTAGGCTTGCTGAAAAAGTCTGACAAGTCTGCTGAGAATCTGGCTGTATAAGGACATTTTATTTCAAGTAATCCATCTTCGTCTATCAATCCATCTGGCGAAGTAAGTACAAAGAAAGGGATATTTAGGATCAATAAAAAGGCCACAACGTCTGATGTTTTTTCCCATGTGCTTTTCCTTGTATTGATTTAAGGCTACTGCTTCGTTAGCCAAGCCATACTTTAATGCTTTAGTTGAAACGTTATCATTATATATGATACGTTTCACTAAAGCAGCACTGAGTGTTGTTGGACGCCTATCAGCAACATCTTTGAAAAAGGATGATGATATTCTTCTTGATCTTTCATGACGCCATCTTTCAGATGATGACTGTCCACGTGTTACGGCCTCAAGAGAATCTTTTTTTGGAACTTCAATTGATATAAAAAAATTTTTAGCTGCCAATTCATATGCTTCATCTGATAGGTCTGGTTTCTCAGGAAAATCACCATAAGAAATATCCCCACCTTGCTGAATATGTCCTGCTTTCCTCATATTTCTCTTTTTCTTCTCAGTGTCAAAAAGTCTACGTCTCTCAAGACGTTTTACATGGCGCTTATTTCTGGAAGCTAAGAATTTCAAAGTTGGAGTCCTGGGGCTACTTCCTGTTACAGCTTTTTGTGCATTTTTTTGCCACTGCTGTGCTGGATTTTGATAGGCCATGACAGCAATACTCGCACGCCTGTTCATGCCACCAGCTTTGGAAAAATCAACTCTTTTTCCACCAGATGTTTTACACAGTTGACTCATGAAGCTTTCAGCAGGATTATTTGTGGCATTCCAAATAAGAGTACTGCTACACGATATCAGTACTCTTCCCACTTCTGCTTCAATAGCTTGCAACATACCCGAGGAAAAAATTTCATTGTATGTGCTGTCCAACTCTGCACCTTTCTTTGCACAAAAAGCACTACAAGCATCATGCTTGCCAAATATATGATGTGGCCCATTTCTCAAGTCAGATACTAATGCATCAATAGCTTCTTGTGTGTGCTGATAATGGCTAGGTAAAGCATGAGCTTTTATAGCTACTCTAGCACCTCTGACTAACAGTGGCATTTTAATTTTCAGCAATTTACGGGCAGCAATTCCTTTAGCCCCGGGGAAGCGCGCAGTATTTTGCTGAAGTTTCTCAAGAGCTCTGCGATATCTTCGAACAGCATGGTTAGCACATTCTACTTTGATCACCCGTCCTCCATATGAAACGCTTTCTTTCACTTTGGCCATTGTGTTAGCATCTCCATCTCCAACAAGTCGAGTACAACGTATTTTGTGAACACACTGGAGATAATTCAGACCTTCCACAATGGCACTGCTTTCCATACCTGTAGAAGGCCCATTCCAATTTCGCCAACAAAGGTGCACTTTATTTGGCATCTTGCCATCTTCAATAGCACTGCATATAAGGCACACTTTGTTGCGAATTCCAACAAACAAAATTTTCTGGGTGACCATGCCTATAATAACAGATATGCCACTTGAAGCATTGTAACCATGCCCATAGCTTCTTTTACACCAACCTCCATCAACAATGACAGTTATACAGTGATAACCATCATTATCTTTATCATTGCGAAGTTCTGCCTGCCTTTTCTCCTCTTCTATAGCAGCACACATAGTTTCCTGTGCACATCCCTGTATTATTTTGCCAGTAGTTCGCTCACAAGAAGCAAAGGTCGAGTTGCTCATATACGGAATTTCCATGATGCTAAACTTTTCCTCCTCTTGTGAAAATCCACTGCCAGTAGATAACGCACCTAATACTGCAAGCTGATTTAGGCTGCTTTTCTCCATATCAGAACAAATTGTTGCCATTTCCCCACATAAAATTTTATCACATACATAGTTATATGTAGTGACAAGACCACGTCGAATCACTTTGTTAAAAATAAATGATCCTCCAAATTTACAATTTAGGGAATGTTGCTCTAATGTCCTAGCTAGCCTGCACTATTACAAAAGACATATTGCAAATTGTTCTGCCAGATGGTAATGGATTTGCCTTTCGTCGATCTTCCCTTTCGATAATTAAAGGTGAATCAGGACACAGAAATTCATCATTAAGGTTCTCCTGAAGAGGCTCAGACTCCAAGCTAAAATATATATATATATACAATATATATACATATATATAATTAATATATATAAATATTACAAATTAGGTTTAAATTTGGCTTATTTGATGACAGCAAAGCACTTGATCTTCCTAAGAGGAGGAATGCTTTCATGGAGGACTTTCTAAGGGAAATGGCTCATATACACGGGGAAAACCATGAAAACGCCCATGCAGGCAGCCCATTCGCAATTAGGTTTAGGAAATTTAGGCAACAGATAGCAAATAAATTAACAATAATAATACACTGGATTACCAGTATATTACTACAAGAAGATGAGTCATCTTCACAACTGCTGCTTCCATGCTCGCAGTGTCATTTGCTCGTGCAATATTAGTCACTACTTTGTGTGCCGGAGGTTTCACATGAAGGGCCTCTACACCTGAGTATAAAATGTTCGTGTTCCAGTAAACACTGAATTCAGAGGGGCAAGAATAACTCTTTCATGGTGGATAACTCAGTTACCAAATGGCTTTCTAAGGCTCTATTCAAGCCGTTGTATAAATGTCATAATTCCCAACTAACAACGCTTTGTAGTCAGACCTTGCTATGTCACAAAAACTAGTTTGGGCATTAAGCTTGAAGTTTTCAACTTTGTGCCGACTTGATATAAGAGTCGGCCAATCAGAGCATATACATAAAACCTATTGAGAGAGAAAGCTGTAGACACATACATGCATGCACAAATTTAGCTTCTCTAATTGGCTATGGCTTAGACCCTCTCTCGCAGGTGTGAATGGAACTCCCACATTTTGTGCCTTATGATTATGCGTCTATGACATTTATACCATCATGTGAACGGAGCCTTAGGATGGCATACTAAGAAGATGCACTGTCTTGTGGGGATAAGCAATTTATACTCCTAAGCCTAAAAAAAAAACTTGGAAAAAAAAAGATCACGACTTAAATTTGTTGTCTAATTGCTCTAATTTGAGGCACATTATGAGAGGAAAGCAAAGGTAGTAATCAGAATTATTTAAAAAATTTTATCCTTATATTTTTCTTAAAAATTCTGTAAAATAATAAAATTTGTGGTTTTCCTCAAATAAATATATATGGAAAAAATAACAGCCACATAATCACAGATTTCATTTTGTTATATTTTATTAACAAAATTTAAATTATTAAAAATCTCTTTCATGAAGGGAACATAAAACATCATGAAAACAATGAAAAAGAAGCAATATTTAAAAAAGATAGTAGGCTTATTGATGAGGCTCCCATCAAAAGAATCAAACCCCAAAATATTTTCATTTGCTTCAGTGTCCCGACTGAAAATTTCACTGATTTCAATGAATATATTTTTAAAAAAATCTTTTATTTTCAAGTTCTTTCATGCAAAACGTCCAAATTTGGTACAAATCAAATTCATCCCCCTCTTTTTGATAGCTACAATATTATATTTAACAGTTTTAATAGCTATCAGTATGTAAACAACATAATGTAACACCATAAAAGAAAAACATAAATGATGACATTTTAATTTTGGCATAGAGAAATACATATTTACCCCAAAAGAGAGCTTGTATTTCTACCTTCTACGTCAGAGAGTCAATAACTGAAATGTCCAGATCAGAACTGAGAAGAAAAGAACCATAATTAGTTTAATTAAGATACAATAACACACCGACCAAGTATTAATTTGAGAGTCAAGCAACAAAAATCAGCATCATATTTTGAAATATTCACTATTTGAAAATATAACGCTGATTTTGGTTGCTTGACTTCTAAATTAATACATAATTAGTTAACCATAATTAAGTAACTGTAATATCATGCACAGCTAATATCTATTTTAAAAATAAACCAACTTACCTCAGGAAAGCCTGGTTTGTCTTAGGAACATTAGCTGTAACTTCTGGCGTAGAAAAGTCAAATTTTTCACTTCCGGACCTAAGAATGAAAGAAATAAACTGCTATAACATAATTAAAAAAAAAAAAAAAAAAAAAAACATGAATAAATAAATAACACATAACAAATTTAAGCATTAAGCTATGTATGACTACCACCCATCTCAGACAGTGCGACAGATATTGCTGTATACTGTTTCGCCATACCCTGTGTAGCTATTATATCATGCTGTATAACCACAGTTTAGAAAAATTACAAAATGTGTTATTTATATCTATCTAAAATGGTACATTACTACATGATTTGTAAGAATAAATTAGAGGGCTCTGCGAATGAAATTCCTTCCAATTAAAAAATGTAGGAATAAAGAAAATGCAGGAATTGCAAATGCAGAAATGAAAAAGGGGATTATATTTTTTGTACAGAATCCAGATGACATATTTTTCAACATTTTAGAAATTTCAATATTAATTTTAGGGGCATAAAATATTAGGCCCCTAAAAGCAGAATATAGTTTTTAAATGTTCAGATAATCTTCCTATGAGAAGAATTCCTTTGAGAAGTACACATCTGAACCACAATTAAAAAACATGTACAAGAACAGAGCTGAGGACTTCTGTTTGCAGAAAGTCTGTCACATAACATATGAAAAGTTTCTTATTGGTAGATTTTTGATCAGACGGATATTTTAATGTTATACAGAGAAAGCATTCACTCCCTTTATACTGGAGATAATTCAATTTGGACAATGGCAAAAAGGCTAAGCAAGCCTGAGCGTATTGGTCCCATTCTTGGCACTAGTTTGGTTTACGCTCAAAATACACAGCAGATATTTTCTAATTACCTGCATCCCAATATCAATTCAATTCAGCTTTTGGTGGAATTTAACATTTGTGACATATTTTTCAAAAACTACACTTCACAACATGCATACATGACAAATACACAGAACCATAAATAAACAAGCAATAATATATATTTATATATAAATTTTACTAAATGATCATAAAATGTTCCAACGCTAAAAGAAAGTTTTAACATCCAAGTAAATGACATAATAAAAAAAAGCAAGTTGAACAGCGAGCACATGAATAAATGTGCATACACCTGTTAAAATATACCATAGGTAACTGACAAAGCATTTCGTAGCAAACATATGACTATAAAATTTCCAATAATACATGTAATGATGGTGAATTCAATTTAGATCGCAAGAACATGCTCATACTTTTGAAAAGATTCAATTATTTCAGCAATTCCTTGTGAATTGGAATTTACCCTTTCAATATTTCCCAACAATTTAGTGTGAATGGAGGAATAAATTCTTATAACAGAATTGAACAATTATTAGCATCCCCTCATACACACACATACAAAAAAAAAAAAAAAAAAAAAAAAAAAACTTACTTTGTAAAAAAATCATCCGGGCAATGATTCTCCTTTGACACAGATGCAGTTGTATCAATAATTTCTGACCTTCAATAAAAAAAATACGCATATTTTACTTCGGAATTAACTTACTACGAAATCATAAACACGGGGTCGATATAAAGAATA